CTCTCTTTCTCCTTTCTTCTTCTAGATCAATTTCTTCCTCAATATCAGTCATACCATCATCATCTTCGCCTTGTATTTCTTGAGACGTCTGACCACCTTTGCATTCCAACACACATGCTTCTTCTTCATATCCTCCTTATTCTTGAATTCATTGGCCAACAGATAATTATTAGCCATGACGGGAGGTAAGGTGCCGAACTGGATTGTAAGAGGTGGTTCTGTATCTTCTTCGTCTCTTTTGCTTCGATCAAACTTCGACATCCCAGAAGAACTTTTTGCCATTTCTCCCATTGATTCCCCAGTGCCAGTCTCTTCACTATCTTCGAGAGCATTTTGATTAACTATTTCCAGTACTCTTGGCGCTTTAGGATGTGGCATTTCTTGTTGCTGCCTCATCATTCGTCCATAATTCCGTTGAAATCGTCTTTGCTGAGTCCTGGTCATTTCATTAAATGGCACAACACGTCTCGCATTATACTGATATGAATGTTATACATTAAGCTGGCGAGGCTCTGGTCTGAATGATCTTTCATGCCTTGCTGGCCTGAACTGTCTTTCCAAATGCTGTCCTTTATAGAACGATGTGCCTTGCCTCCTGTTTGGAACAAACTCAGGAGAATGATGACTCTGCCATACTTCCAGTTTCCCAGTGCTTGCTTTCATTTCTCCTTTACATCTGGCACACAAGACTTCTACGTTATTCATGGGTTCTTTTCCCCTAATACGTTCGAACACGCTGGCATGTTTCTCAGGGTCTTCCTCATCATCGATGACTAACATGAACCTTGGCAACTTATTTTTGAGATTGGTCGTCACCATATTCACTTCAAGTGGCTGTGGGAAAGGATTTTCATCCACAGCCATTTTCTTTTTGTCTTCGAACGTGATTCGTCCTGACTCAATAGCGTCCTGTAAAACATGATGGAAAACCAAGAAATAATTAGTCATATGTGACCTTGCATTATGCCATTTACAATATTTTTTACCCTTAATTTGCTCAGGGTTTGGCAACTTATGTTTATCACTCAATTTTATGTGCTTATTCTTATACAATTTATCGAATATAAAGTCAGCTTTTGTCACGTCGAACGAGAACGTTCTGCTCTTTTTGTTTTCTCCTTTTACAGGCTCATCTCTAGCTACATCCCTAGGCTTAGCCATTATGGGACAAGTATATGCATCCCCCTTGGTCCATTCGGCCAAACATATTTCAATTTGATCATAAAATTCATCATTTATAGCATGAACACCAAAGTGTGGGTCTTTGTAATAAGTCTCTTTGCTAGAATTTTTTACTTGCTCTTCTTCTCTTATCAAACGTTCGTACCTAATCACGTTCGCACTAAGTTGGAACAGGTCAGGGAATTCCCTATCCTCGAACTTTTTCTTTAAATCAAAACTTAAACAGCTTTGAGCGATTTTGACAAATTCTTTTTCAGGCAGGGGTACAAAGCATTTACTCCTAGCTGTTTTGAACCTTTGAAGGAAACCTTCTGCCCATTCATTTGGCATTTGACGTAAGTTCGCCAAATCGGCCAGTGTAACCTCAGATTCTGTTTTATAAAACTGAGCATGGAACAACTGTTCTATTTGTTGCCATGTTTGAACGGAATTTGCTGGCAAGTTAATAAACCACGAAAAGGTAACTCCTGTTAACGAACTAGGGAATAGTCTCATTTTATGGTAGTCGGTCACCTCACCACTCTGTAATGTGAATCGTCATATATGTTCCAGAGTAGATACTTCTCCTAAACCAGTGAACAATGAGAATTCGAGCACTTTATACCCTCTAGGCCATGGATATGCTTGATCTACCCAATCAGGATATGGTTTAGTGTAGGTCGGCCTAATAACAGACGTACCCCAACGGCCATTTGATCTTGTACTATTTCTACAATTTGATTCCTCAGTAAAGCATTTGGATCATATGGAACTCCTATGGGTTGGTTCACTTGTTGGTTTACTTGAGGTGGCCTGAAATTTGGCCCTTGATTGGCAGGGAAAGTGACATTGTTCAGACCATTATACCCATTATATTGAGTATTTACTCCCTCATTAACACGAGGTAAATTATGTCCACTATTCAGGACATTATCCCTTACATTTGGATTACCCCCCAGGTTGGTAGTCACATTATCGCCATTCAAATTTGGCGCTCCATTAACCCCTTAATTTAAGGTGGAAGGGCCGAAAAATATTTCTAGACCTGGACCTGGGTTCAAACCAGGGGAATTGTGTGGTGAAACATGTCCCACAATCGCCCTGGTCTGGAAATGACTTCCTACGGTTGGTTGATATACTTGGCCTACTAATTTGCTCATAAGATCATTTAATGCACTTAATTATTTGGCCATGTTATCATAGTGAACATTTCCACTTTTGGTAAATTTTTCCATATTATGGACGTTTCATAAATTTACCTATTCAACGACATCTTGTGTGAGTTCTCCAAGAAATACACGCATGGTTCGAGGACTCAACTATGTCATTAGCTCATAACGACTGTGACTGCTTGGAGTCTGTCCTTCTGTCTGAGGAGAATGTTGATGCTCCTCATATCGCTCAATCACAGACTGGACTACTCCGTGACTTGCTGGTGCTTTATCAGAACTTTTATGAAGCATAATGTTTTCCTTTTGCATCTTCAAACACCAAGTGTCCCACTGGGCGTGCCAAATTGTTTCGCACGTTTTTGCTCGCTAACAATTAAAAAGGGATCAGACGATTGTGTAAGGGACAAACCTTTTGGAACAAAGTCCCAAAAAGGGGTGTTTATTGAACATGAAGATTACTGTTTGGACACAAACAAGATACCTCCAAGGGGCGCAAGCACACAAGTACAAGGGAATTGAAGCAATTAAAAGTTAATCTAA